GGACTCCAGGATCATGACCTGAGCCGAAGGCAGTCGCTTAACCAACTGAGCCACCCAGGTGCCCGAAATCCCTGTTTTCAAAAAGGAATTCGATCACTCTTCTTCAGTCTATACACGAATAAAAGTCTAGCATCAAAGTTGAAAGGACGCTTTTTCACTGCCACCACCCTGATACGCTTTGGTGAAATTTCGTAGAATGGACGAACGCAGCACAACTTAACAAATAATCACGAAGCATCTTCTATGTGCCAAATGCTGAGTGTACAGCATGGGCCCTGTGACGAATGCTCTCGGGGGGGGGGGTATTCACAGAGGGGCCTCTAGAGAGGGTCACCTTTCTAGACGGGAGCTGGGTTCCTGGTGACGATATACAAACCCAGGAATAACGAAGCCAGTCATGAGCTGTCCCGCCATCGCCTGAAGTCCAGCACGTTAAAGACAGGGCCCCTTGTGCATTTATGGTTTCCCCTCCAAAGCATAGCTGTTTCCCCTGCTCTCCACCATCCTTGATGACACCGTGGCTTTGCTTGCCACACGTCCTACTCCTCTTCCTCTCACTTCTCCAATGCTTTGTCATAACCCATGTGCGTTTCCATGCACACTGGTCACCACAGAACAGTCCCCGTCACGACAATGAGCTCCCTGCTGGACCCTCCACCCCAGCTCCTATCACCTCCCTCAGGGACGATTCTGGTTACTTGCTGCCATGTGGACAACAGGCGTTGTGGGAAGCACTGGGAGGCACAGAGGGAGGAGGCTCAGATGTTAGCTAGGGTAAACGCTGTAACAGAGCACTGTGCTGTCACCAAAAGCGAGAGTCTCAGCAAAGTGTTATTATTATTAATTATTACTCTTACTGGAATGTCCCCAGCCACGTGTTGATGGCACTGGGTCTAGGTCTGCTGATGCCATCCCCGAGCATGGGCAAGCAGAGGCTCCAGATCCTTCCCGATGCCCATGATGAACGAACTGCATACTCAGTATTAACAGAAAAATGTATTTTACCTGCTGACGCTTTTCAAATTCCAGTTTGATCCGAGACTTGATACAGTTGCACGTGTCCTGATAGGTCTGCTGCAGGGCAAGCTCCATGAGATGCTTGTGGTAGGCTCCCGCCAGGTTCCCACAGATGAAAATGATCACATTAGCCAGGATCTAAAAAGACAGAAAGAGCCACTCAGGAGGGCGAGTGTTGCTAACTCGGGAACACAACAATCACGGAATGCACATTAGCACCAGCAAGAGATGAATCTGCGGGAAGTCAATTTCATTGGTTTCCAAACTCACATTTTTATTTGCTTAAAAGAAACAGCTATTGCCTTCAGGGATTCAAGCCCCTTCTTGGATCCATGCCCTTTGATGGATGACTCTGCAGACCCTCCCTTCTCTTGGGGCTCAGCCATGTGATTTGCTATGGTTAATGCAATGGGCAGGGGGTAAATGAGTGCCAGATCCAGCCCAGACTTAGAAGGCCTGGCATGTTTTTGGGTGGCTCTCCTGTGCTTCATGAGAAAGAACATGCTCTGGCTAGCCCACTGGTCCCAAAAAGATGAAAGATCCATGGAACAGAGCCAACCAGACAGCCCACAGTTTACTACTGTGTGTCACTGGGATTTTGTGGTTGTTACACAGCATTGTTTCAGTAATAGGTGACTGATCCAGGCTGTTCTCACACCAAAACCATACTCACTGAGCCTGGGTGAGTGATAGTCCCTACTAACTTCTGTTTATATAGGAATATGGTAGACTCTAAAACCATATAAATCACTACTCTTTTGACGATAAAAAGTCAGGTCCACAAAAATTTGGGGGGAAAACCGAAAAATCCAAAGAAAAACTAAAAAGAACCTATAATAGTCCTGCCCCAGAAGAACGCCTTGTCCATATGGCCTCATCCCCACTCCATGTCCCTCTGCATTCTCCAAACTATTGCCAAACTTTGTTTGGCCAAGACCTCCATCTTGTTCCAATAGGACCGAATTCATTCTGAATGCAGTGTTTTACTTTTATTTTTTTTTAATTTTATATTAGATCAGATTTTTTTCAGGTCATAAACATTCTGTGCCAACAGGATTCTGAATGCTTGGATAACATTCACTTCTATGACTGCACAATAATTTAGTTTTATTCATACTATTCATACTATTCGACACTTACTTTATTAATATTCCTTGCATTGGCATACTGCAATAGCGATCACCGTGACATATAAAGCTTTGACTCCATGCTTCATCTTTTCCTTAGGTTGATTAGTGAAACACACGGAGTCAAAAGCCATGACTATTTTTAAGTTCTCGATACATTTTGTGAAACGGCTCCAAGGAAACATTCCATTTCTATTCTCACCCCCAGCGTAGGGCACTGTCTTTTCAGTGTGTACCCTTACATAGCACACTATTCACAAAGAGCAGGTGGTAGTGATGTATAAAACGGAGTCGTATGGATTTCACTCTTATGTGTTCAGGGCAAGACTTGCAGGTCAGAGGGTGGGTGGCCACACCTGGATAAAGCGCCCCATCGCCCCCTCCTCCACATGACCTCATGTCTCACCAAATAGGGCACTAATGGCTTTTACAACAAAGGCAGGGCATCAGCTTCCAGAAGCCCTGCATTCTTCCCTGAGAACCTCCCACTAACATCAGCTTGTTGCTCCTACCGATTACCTGATTGGAGAGGCTGGGAGAAGGATCTGGACCCCATGAGCCAAGCTTCTGCTCCTCTCAGTGGGGCCCTCCCTCATCCCCTCTGTTCTCAGCTAGTGGAGCCTATGGACCCTCACACCCCAGTGCTGGGAGCAGGAGGAGGTGGGGTGATTCAGGGCAACGGTGTCACGTCCCTGTGGCCCAGATCCAAGCCATTATCTCCCAACAGCTGTAACGGTAGCAAAGGGGATATCCTGGTCTCCATCCACCTGATGTCTTTGCCTCACTCTCCGTAGGTTCTGAATACAGGTGGAAAACAGGGCTCCTCAAGCCCCGGGAAACCCATTTTGGGGATGGAGGGCAAAGCAGGACAGGGTGAGACATGGGAAGGGTGATATGATGAGCTCCTCTCTGTGAATAGACACTCCGCAGAAGCGGGGGAAGGGTTGTTCAGACCAGAAGGGCCTTCCAGTTGTCCATCAAGCCCACAGATCCAGGAGGCGGAGAGCTCCCACAGCTCGCCCTCGCGCTCACAGCAGCCCCCGAAAATGTCCTTTTAGGCAACCTCATCCTCCTGCTGTAGAACGGGTGATTCAAGCATGAACTCTGGGTATTGCCGTCTGTCTGATGTGTACACAGCTGATGTGTGTATGTGAGTTATTGGTCATGTGTGCACGCGTACAAAGTGTGTGTCATGCGTGATCTGTCCGTGTGATACATGCATGTGACACATACATGCCTCTGACACGTCCCTGGGTGCCGTGTGGGACGGACCTGTGTTACGGTATGTGGTTTGTGTGATGTCTGCGGGCACGCTATGCATGTCACTCTACACGTCCCGTGTGGCTCTGCATGACATGCGCATGTGCTGTGCACATCTCTGGTGTGACAAATGACGTGCATATATGAGACGCCGTGGTCTGAGTGGGAGGCGTGTGTGCTGGTGCTGTGCGTGTAAGTGTGAGCCCCGGCCCAGAGAGTGGGAGCAGCCAACACTTCTAACCGTGCCCGTAGCCACCCTTGCACCTGTCACCTCTGTGAACGTCAGTCACGTGAGCAAAGGCGCTCGCTCGTGAAGTCCTGGCTCCCCCTGCAGGAGGAGGCCTCCTCTAGCTGACGGGGTCAATGTCAGCGTCCTGCCCTCGGCGCACTGTTAATTCGGCCCTGCCTTACTCTGCTTCTGCGAAATGACCGTCTATTTGCTAGATTCTCCCAACTTCGTCACTGCTGGACTTGCTTTGAAGGACGGTGCACCACAGAATGCAGACAATGAGGAAAGCCAACACAAACCAGACGGCTCAGAATTCGAAAATGCTCTCTCTTTCCTTATTAGGTACAGCTGGAACGATAAGTTAAGTGATTATCTAGGGGAGATTTTTCTTTTTCTCCTTAAAAAAATGCCTTCAAAGCAGAAATGTCAACATTTCAGGAAGTGGGTTCCTCCAAAATGAGAACCAAATATAAGCAACAGAGCCCAATGACGCCATCAGCTGTCCCCGGGAGCCCCCTCAGCAGGGTGCGGGAACGGGGGGCCCTTCTCTCGCAAACCCAGAGCCACCCACTGGGACGGTGCGTCCTGCCTTCTCCTGTCTTCTGCTGAGGACCCCCGTTTGAAACCCCCGGGCCCCAGAGTGGGGCAAGTGTGCTGTGGCCCCATGGGTGGGCTGCCCCACCCCGCAGTCCTGCTGTGGGGACACCTGTGGTCCCTGCCAACCCCCCCCACCTGATGGCAGAGGCTGTGTGGCCCCCCAGAGGGATGCGACCCTTTGACCCCAAGTTCTCAGCTTCCACTTGAGCTGCCAATTCAGTGCGTCCATTGTGAGGCAGGTGCGTGGGGCCCCTCTCGCGGCAGAACCACTGGCCCCAAGTGCCACAGCTCTTTACGACTGTAGTCACTTCCTCCCACTCACCGGGATGGCGAGGGCAACAGGCCGCCTCGCCCATCCGGGACACCTGCTGCACTCCAGCACCGTCTCCCTGAGCAACCGTCACTGGGCCGCATGACCTCATCCTGCAGCTCAGGCCCGCGTTCGAGCCGTCGCGTCTGGACCGCACCCGCAGGCTAAAGCCGGGGTCTCCCGCAGGCCCACTGGGCCCTTGCCCATCTTGTGTCGTCACCAGGCAAACGCTTCCTGTCTACTAGGAAGCGCCCCCCACATTCTACAAGGGGAGCCTGTCTGTCCGAGGACAGAGGGGGCTCCTGAAAGACAAGTGCGGCTTCCTCGGTTCCGGCCTGACACCGCGTGTTGGCAAATCTGCACTGTCCCGGAACCGAAGGAAAAGCCAGCTTGCGGGTCATTCTGGATGTTGCACTGCTTCAAACGACACGGAATTGCAACACTTCCTGGCTACAGACAGGTGGAGAGGATGTATTCACCAACTTTTATTTGGATATGCAAAGGGAAATGCTTAAGAAATAATAATAACTAATAAATAAAAAACTAAGAGTTTTAATGTCAAGTCAAATATGGTATATTTTTATCTGATGGAAAAAATTAATTAAATTTTCTGATACCTGGTTTCACCCCAAAATACAGTACTCTTTAAGATAAACAGAACTGGCCCCAGCATTTTAATAACTACAGAAATTGGGGTGCCTGGGTGGCTCAGATGTTTAAGCGTCTGCCTTCGGCTCAGGTCATGATCCCAGGGTCCTGGGATCGAACCCTACATTGGGCTCCTGGCTCAGCGAGGAGCCTGCTTCTCCCTCTCCCTCTCTCCCTGCTCATGCTTTCTCTCTCTCTCTCTCTGTATCTCTGTGTCTCAAATGAATAAAATCTTTAAAAAAAAAAAATAACTACAGAAATTTACAAATGTGATTGATGTCCTAAAGTACCTTTCTTTCAAAAGGGTGCATTCACATAATGATTTTGTATAAAACCGAGGGCACCAAGGAAGTGATTCAGTTAAAATGGTCTTTGCAAAAATAATATCACAGCATTTTATTTTCTAGAAAACTGTTAGGCAGAACACGATGAAAAACCCCATTTTCAACAACGTTGGATTTGTTTTATAACATCAAACCATCGTGATGCCTTCTTTTATCTTGTTGCTCCATTTAGCTACTTTTGCATCTGTCAGAGAACAGGAGAGGGAACATGGCCTCCCACGAGATGTCTTGGAAGAAAACAATTTGTTGAGGGTGAAAACATCAGTGAAAAGTTTACCCCGAAAGGTCAAACCGGGCCTTGAAGGATCCGGGATGTGCGCGAGCTGCGTGCTGCCAAGATGGTCAGCCCAGCCGCTCCCCACTCCCCACCGCACCTTATTGGAAGTGGGGTCATCCAGCAATGCTGCTCAGAGATTCTCAGAACTGAAAAATCCAAACATACCTTGCATCTTTTCATCCTCAAGAGAGCCCAGAAGATAAAACCACCAGGAGGATGGACAAGTTTTATTATTTCATTTTAGAGGCAAAGAAACGGTCTAAAAAGTTAAGAGATTGGAGGGTAGGTCCCCATGCAGGCGAGGCTCTCAGGATTATTCCTGCCCCATCCCACACTGCCCCAGGTC